TGCACCACTATCACTTCATCATTTAGTAGACTACTTGCCTGCTTGCACATAACTCTGTATATATTTTTTTTTTTCCGTTTACTGCATATAGTTCTGTTCACATCTGTTTGTCTGATCACCACTTCTATCGCTACTCTTTTTATTTTTTGTAGGCTATTTGAACTTTTGTTCTTTTGTATTTGAACTTTTGTATTTAAATTGACACTTTATACTTTTAGTTGAATTTTGTTGTCTACCTGCACTGTAGATAATTTACTGCTCTGTGTGCCTTTGAATTGCCCCCCAGGGACCAAAAAGTTGTATTTAATTGAATTTAAAAATAGGCCTACTTCTATCATGTTGCTTATGATTTCCTGTAGACATCTTTTTTTATTTTCCCTGTATCATTTCATCCAGAGGTTTTTCCCCACACGTTTGAACTTTCTGAAATAAGTAACCTTCCTTATTTCAACATGGTGCAGCTGCAGAGCCAAACCCAACAAAGAAAGCAAGATACGACTTTCCTTGATTTACGTTCACTGAGCGCGACTTGATCTGTGGAATTAAACAGCCTATCCGAAAAGACATCTCAAAGAAGACCACTCACCGCGATCAGACTTGACGTGATAACGTAACTCCTCTTCAGCCACACGTTCACTCGCCCCATCGCGATTCACTATGAGTGGCGCTCGGTGGTTCACAAGTTTTTATACATGTTATACAATAACATGCATGAACATGAAGAAAGAAACAGATGAGACCTCCCATTTGTGGGCAGTGGAACTGTGTGTGTGTGTGTGTGTGTGTGTGTGTGTGTGTGTGTGTGTGTGTGTGTGTGTGTGTGTGTGTGTGTGTGTTTATGTACTCACATTGTAGCTACATATTAATAAATGCAACGTATCTACAACTTTACTCTAGGGATGATTCACAATGAACACGAGTGATGACTTTCTTTGCTTCTTCACTTTGACATTTTAACTCTTGGATGGAGTCCTGAGTATAAAGGCTGCATTCACACTGAAGGTAAAAGTGACCTTAATGTTATGTTTTTTTTATTTCGTTTTTAACGACAATGTGAACAGCACAAGAAACATGGAATCAGATCTTTTCAAATTTCAATTTTGGATACATATGTGGATTCCCACAGGAGTCTGATACAGGCCACATTTAAAAAAAAAAAAAAGCAAAGTGAACAGCCAATTCCAAACAACAACAAAAAAAAAATCAGAATTGAGCACTAAAGCCCAGATACCCTATACCCAGATGAATTGGTGCTAATTTAGTGATGATGCTTTTGGTTTTATTTGAATTTGTTTCAAGTTGCTCCAAACATGAGTATTGTGTTAAAGGTGATGAGCAAGCATATAAATGGTAAATGAACTTGAGCTTGTATAGTGCTTTTCTAGTCTTCTGACTACTCAAAGCGCTTTTACACCACAGGTCACTCCTATAGAGTGACTGGGCATGGCTGCTATGAAAAGTGACCATCAGATGTAACTAATTCTATTCATACACAGATACACCGCCGCCAAAGCAGCGGGAGGAATTTTTGGACTTATTGCTATTATGAATTGTTTACCTGTTTATACATCGTAGCATATTGAAAAATGTATATGCACATTTTTCCCATGATGTTGGGCAGACGTACTCTACATTCAAAACTATAAACGTCTTTATGGACAATAAGGACACAAAAGGACATGATGCATCGTTCTGTATTGAGCTGAGTTTATGCTGCTGACTTTATTTTATATGTGAGGAAAATTAGTAAAGAAAGAGGAGATGAGGAGAAGGCTTACAGATGAGAGAAGTCTTAAAAATGCAACCAAACAGAGAGAGGAAGAGACTGATTGGACAACGGCTTTGAAAGAAAACTTCTTTTAACAGGAAGAGCTGTGTAGACTCAACTTGCTGTGTAGACCCCAATAAAGCCGTTATTGTCTGCCGCTGGAAGAACGATGGAACTTGTCTCACTCTGGATCACATTGCCTCTCCTCAGGGTTCCACCCACACATTCAAAATCTATCTAATATCTATCCATCCACCTCTGTTCTAATCAGGAAAGATTAGTAAATGATTCACAGATACATACATTTACTTTTCATGTGTGATAGTGAATTATTGTCAGAAGATTGTGGCTTAAACTCTACAGGGAGATATGGTGATCGAAGAATGAATGCACAAAGGCAGGCTGTGGGCCAGAGGATGTTTGTGGGCGGAAAGTAGGGAAGTGGCCAAAAATTCATTGATTTACTGAAACTGCTCGGACCATGTCTGTTCTCTGGAATAAGTGTTGCACAACCACATTCAAAATCCAGAGATATGTTTGCAACATTTTGATGAATAGAGGATTATAGTTGAATGTCATAGAAATGAAGTCCAGGGTGTTTATGAGAACTGAAATGAAACATCCAGCACTGACAGAAACCTTGTATTTCATAATAACACTCACAAAAGTCCTGGCAATAAAACCTGAAAAAAAAAAAAAAAAAAAAAACATGAGCTGGTGTTTAACTCCTTTCTTAAACAACAACTTTTGCCTTTTTTTCAGTAGCCATTTCGCAACTATTCTCCAACACACAATGCTGTATAAAAAAGGCATGATCCATATGCAAAGGTAAGCTAAGATAAACTAGGCTAAAGCTGCTAAATCTCCATTCTTTACCCTGTAACACAGATCTTTTTATTTTACCCTCAGAAGATTCTCTCAACCTATTACGACGAGCTATGTGTATCCGAGTCAAATTACATGCTGTAATATTAGAGCCTCAGAATTTTTTTAACGCATTTTATTTCTGAGATACACAAGCAGACATTTTTAGTGTTCTCCCTAACTCCCAGTGTTTATGAATTCTCTTTTACCTCTGGGGCATGTTAGCAATACTGATGCTCCAGCTGTGTCAACTAAAGGATTCATCATCTTCCATATTGAATTCTTTGGAATCACTGTCACGGGGCATTTCAGGACCTCAAACAAAGAACATCACACTCTGTAACATTTTGTTTTGTTAAGTGTGCAGGAAGTTATGAAAAATATTTTACTAAACGACCTAGAAATGATACAAGGATTTCAATAGAAAAGTGACCACCGCCTCTGGTCTTGCTGTCTGTCAGGAATCATTCAGAACAAAAAGCGGATGATGCGCTTTTTTTCTTAAGAAGCATTAAGAACGACATACTGTAGCCCAATCCTCTGGTTATTTGGGATGTGTTTATCTTGGACAAATTTAATCGACATTCCTCATATGGTCATCTTTTCTTGAAGGAGTTCATGATCACTCAAATCTCAATTACTGTAAAGAAAAATGTTATATCATCAAAGGTCAAAAGATGAGGTTCAAGATAAGGAGAAAAAAGGTTATTCACATAAAAGGTCAATGGTTATATTGACTTCCTTTAACTGATTTGAAAGAAAAGTCTTGACATTAAAAATGTCAGGAAATGTGCACAGTTTAAAGCTATAACTTAATAATTGTGATTAGATGCTGACAAGATAACCGTCTGTGTTAGGATTGCACTGAAAACTTGGCCCAAGAAAACACAGGGAAAGCTGAGGCCAAGGCTGTTACGCACATAACTAACTGTGCAGGTTGATAAGATACAGAGCAAATATCAGCCAGCCTGCTTCTGAATATTGTGTCATAGTGAAAGTTAGACTTGTATCATTCTCAAGATGACAGTGTGTGCAGAGAAACAAAAGCACTCTCCAGGGAAGTGATTTATGACATAAGACTCAGCCACAGGGCTAAAGTTAAAAACATGTGCTGCCAGTAAACCACACATCCACGGGGTTGGCCTACTTCTCAGGAAACGCTCTCGTTGTAGTAATTGTCTTAACGGCAATGCTTATATAACCAGTTATAGATCAGGAAGAGGATTTTGCTTAGTAGTTGCTGATATAAGTCATTGTTAATGTCTTCACTTAAAACCCATTCACTATCGACATAATTAAAATAGTGATTCTAAATAGAGCATATTTAATTAATACTGCAGATCAAGAGGGTAAATGAAAACTATAACAAAACAACACAGAGCCAAGATATTTCAGTGTATGGACAATCATACCATTTTTGACAAAATGATCTGTTGCAATTGTCACAAAATTTGACATCTTCACATTTCTTGTTTTTAGGCTCCCTTAGAAATGATTTAAAGCTCAGCAGCATTTTAATGGACCTATAGCTATTAAACTTGTCTTATTATATGCAAATTATTATCATTGTGAAAAGAAACAATTTATATTATTATCTTCCAATAAAGCTGTGCAGTAAGGCAAGATAAGCAGTGTGATAAACCATGTATTTACACAATATTAGGATTTTCAACGTCATTTTCATATTTTGTATTTCCAGGCTTTCCCTTTTTGTAGTGTTGGTGAAGTAGACCGTTCTACAAATGAAGGACATAACCCCGTTTCCTATTGAGGCTATCTAATATAAATAATGTTTAATGTATACTGTGTACATGCGGCCCTCATCAACCCTCAACGTGGCCCTCAGGTTAATTTTTTACACATCAATTAAATGTACCATAATAATAAATAATCCCATTAATCCAGCCATCCAGATATACCTAATAATTCGCTTTTTTTAGTCTACATCTGTAAATGTTGTAATTACTGTACATAGCACAGACTCTTGCACTTTCTGCTTATTTCCACTTCTGGTGAGATGCCAAACCTCATTTCGTTACTCTATACTTGTATATGTGTAATGACAATAAAGTTGAATCTCAAATGGAAACATGAAGAAAACATGACGAAATCTGCCATGAAATCATGAAAACCAGAAATATGTCCATCATAATATTTGATCACTGGCGTATGTTGAGTTAATTTGAGACATAATTGACTGTAATCGTTTAATTTGGCCCTCTGGCAAGTGAGAATTAAATGAATGTGGCCCCTTGCTGCCACCAAAGTTGCCCATCCCTGCTGTATACAGCCTCTGGTCGAAAAGAGGTTTTCGAAATAGTAACGGCCCCTTTAAGAAAAGTCACATGACGGTCACATGATGCGGAAGTGGAGTGAATTGTTTCAGCGTTGTTGTGTTTACATCAACAGCTTCTCGTTTGCGTGCCGCATGCGGGCATAGAGAGTAAATGAGTGGAGATAAAGACACACGTTATTGTCATTCCTTCAAATTTAAATTCTCAATCCCACTCGAATGCTTCAAAGCGAGTTACTTTCTTTGTTACGACAGGTACCGCGCGAAGACGAGGTAGGATTTATTGTTTAATACAAAATTACTGTTCAAACACACACCGCTTATTCAGCTGCATAACCCGGTAATAAGCAGAAATAAGACGCATTTCATCTTTTCAAACCTTTCGAATTTACTTTAAGTTGTGCTTCAATTCTGACTGCCTGAAACATTTGTTTTCACGTCCTTTTCAGAAACAGCATTTAGTGAAAACTCTGCAGTGTTTGGATGAAGTGACCATGAAGCAGGACAGTGGTGCTGCAAACGTCCCTGCATGCTTCATATCGACCCACGAAGGGTTCCTGGGAAGCATCAAAAACTTAATCAAAGACTTTGTGGTGACAGAGATTGACATCAGTGGACAGTGTGTTAACACAGAAACACAGCCGCCAGCCTGTGCCTCCTCTCACAAATACAATGACACCAGTGCAAAGCGCTGGGAAAACAAACACTCAGTCTCACAGGACGATGACGACGATGCTGATTATGGTGCAGATGTCACCATTCCCAGTCCATGCAGCTTTGATCTAAGTGTGATTTTAGGTCAGGCGGTCAGTGAGGAGCTGGAGCAGTTTGTGTTGACTCTCAAAGATGAAAACACAACCAAGCAAGAGCTTTCTCTGGGATACTTCTCCGACAAACACCACAGAGCTAATGTCCACCGGGCTGTCAGACACCGCTTCCCTTTCCTCATGACCGTCACCATCCAGCCGGAGATCAGGGTGAGGGAAGACCCGGACTACAGGGAGCTCTCCCAGCTCGTCACTGAAGACGAAGCGGAGGACTTCTTCAGGTTCATCGACGCCAAAGTGAGGGGCTCGTCTTATACGTTTGGGCCTGACGACAATAAGGAGCACAGGACGACGGTGCACCACTTCCTGAGCAGGAGGTTCGGGAAGCTGGTGGAGGCGAAAAGCTTTAACGACCAGGGGACCACAGCGATCACCGTCAGGCTGAGAGAGCAAGGGAGGCCGAAGAAGAGGACAACTGAGGACCGAAAGGAAGAGGAGGTGTATACTGGTATGAAGTAGTTTATTTGTATTCATTAGTTTCTGAATGAATACAGATAAATCGAAACACACAAGATGCTGCAGTTGAAGAAAATTGAATTGCTCTGATGTCTTTGTGTGTGTCTCCTACAGCTTTCACTCTGTGTAAGGAGAACCTGGAAACTCTGGAGGCTATAAGCTACATGGCTGCAGCTCTTGGGGTCCTGCCGTCAGATTTCACCTACGCCGGGATCAAAGACAAGAGAGCCATCACGTACCAGTCCATGGTGGTCAAAAAGGTCTCGCCTCAACGGTACTTCTGTTTTCTTTCTGATTGATTTGGGAACCGACCCCCCCCCTATTCCAAAATCCGGAGACGACCTAACATGCATATTTATTTCACTGACCCATCACTAGGTTAAAAGAGAAGGCAGCAGAGTTTGAGAAGAGAGGCATGCGTCTGTCCCAGATCATCTCGGTCGGCGAGCCTCTCAGGCTCGGGCGGCTGCAGGGGAACCACTTTGACCTGGTGGTCCGAGACCTGAGAGCACACGGGGCCAGCGACACGCACTCCCCTGGTGCAAACACACACACTCGCCTGGCAGCCCTGATAAAAGAAGCAGTGGAGAACGTGAAGGTATTTAAATTCTTTTGACCCTTTGACCCTTTGAGACTTGAAACATTGAACTCTTGTTTACTTTCATCGTCGCATGCATGCCTGTACTCGAGAGCTTGAAATATAAAACAGTTTTGTCTTTTCCAACATCACAGCTGAAGGTTTTTTGCACCAGCACAATAAGTATTTCACATGTTAACAAAAATGCTATCCTTTTTTCTCTTCATTTCTGTCTTTCACAAGTGAAAAGTCCACTTAGTATTCAGCCTTTAAGCCCACTGTGGGGTGTCAGTAGCGTGTGGTTGATTTTCTGTACCAGTAAAGAACATTAACAACTCATCAGTTGGATCTTTAAATTGGGGATGCTTGCTGTTTCTTTTTCACTGCTGCTCAGTAGTACCTGAAGTGTGTTAGTGATGAAACAAGTCACTCATGTTCTCTTTTGTTCTTTGCAGGCCAGAGGTTTTGTCAACTACTATGGTCCACAGAGGTTTGGGGCCGTGCAGAGTGTTCAGTCTGACTGTGTAGGGCTGGCTTTACTCAAAGAGGACATGGTAAGTCTAGTAGACAGCCATTATGTACATGATGACCATGACGTTCACACGGTGTGAATTTCTGGATCCGTTGTCGATTTTAGGGAGAGAAAAAAATCAGATACAGATAAGTTGTCCGATACCTTTCTTAGATCTATCTTGGATCTGTAGAGAGAGATATAGAGATACACATGTATTGTGTTGATCCTTAAAATATAGTTATCCAACACTTGTGGAAAAAGATAAATAATGAAGACAAGATTGTAAAGTAACTGCACATGTACGTTTATATGCGCTCGATACTATGCAGGGTGATAATGCTTGTTGTAATCCTTATAGCGCCCTCTGCTGGTGAACGAGAACTGCTATTGAAATACAATGATACTAAAATGAAATGCTGTTTGACTGGTGAATAAAGCTCGTAATATCAGCGCATGTCTGCGATAAATGTAGCCGATACCGATAGTCACAGATTTGCTAATATCGGCCGACATTATCGGCTGGCTGATTTATCGGTCAGGCTCTCGTATGGTGTCGTTGGATAATGTTGAATGTATGTTAATGTGTGTGTGTGTGGGGGTTAGGTCGGGGCTGTTCGTCTGTTCTTCACTCCTGAGGAAGGCGGGGATGATCCTCAGAGCCAGGCAAAGAGACACTTCCTGCAAACAGGTGAGAGCGACTGACTGTTTCTTATTTCCCCTCGAAATGATCGACGATGATATAAGATGAAAGCTGATTACCAGGACCTGTGAGTTAAAGGTGTCCAGTTCTGACAGCAATTGCTCAAATGAAATCATTTCCTTTACGCTGAATCTGTGTACCCCTCTCTTTTCTTTGCGCTTCTCTGTATCAGGTAACGCTAAGGAGTGTTTGGCATTGATGCCCTTATCAAAGGCCAGGGAGCGACTGATGCTCCGTGCCCTGAACCGCTACGGTACAGGTCCAGATGGTTGTGCCCAGGCTTGGCTCAGCCTGCCCCACAGCACCAGAGTCTTCTACCCACACGCCTACTGCAGCAGGTCAGCACTAATGCACACTGACGCTTTATGATAATGGCTATGCAATATTCAACAAACTCACCAAGTTTGAACCAAAACGTAGTGTCCTTCTGACTTGATTTCAAGATGCTTCATTTGGAAATGGTTCCTTGTTGAATGCTTTACTTTAAATAACAGAGATTGCTGTGCTCATCTTTTGTGTTTGTGTTTGTCAAGAGTGTGGAACGAGGCGGTGGCACACAGGCTAACCACTCTGGGCCACAGCGTCAGGAGAGGAGACCTGGTGTGGTTCCAGCAAGGACAAAAGAAGCTGGAGGACACAGGAGAAACCAGCTCCCCTCAGGTAAGAGAGGCCAAAGTTGTTGTTGTGTTTGCTCTGTTTGTCTCGATCGTCTCTTTCCTCTTTCTCCGTCAACACAGTCACTGCCAATGGTTTTCACCAATACGTCGGTTTCTGCTCAAGGTTTCCGCCAGTGGTGCCAAATGTTTCAGAGTGCTTGCTCATGGTGGATTCATTTTGGGTTTGACTAAATATCATAACACGGCTGTGGCTCAGTTGGTAGAGTAGGTGCGTCCTTGGGCAAGACACCTAACCCTGAATTGCTCCCGCTGCTTCCTATGAATGGGATTCTGATGGACACTTAACATAGAAACCTCTGCCATCAGTGTGAGAATGGGTAGGTGTGACCTGCGGTGTAAAAGCGCTTTGAGTAGTCCTGAAGACTAAAAAAACCTCAAATTCCATTCACCATTTACTTTCCTTAACTCTCAGTCAGTTTAAACTCTTTATACAAACTGTGAATATTGGGTGCTGAATGCAGTGGTGGGGGAAAGGAGGACAACAGATCTTAGACTCTATTATGTGATGTGTTGGTTTCTGTTCTGGATCATATTTAAACTGTTTGGAAGTGATGTGCTAAGATGAAGTCAATGTATTTGTTTTGTTTATATAAGTGTATTGTGTTGTCAGGGCTGTGTTACCTCTTGGAGTGTTATGATTAGGGGGATGGTTCATGCCATTGGTGCTGTTGTTTGACATTTGATTAATAAAATATTCCTTAATTCCTTAATTGTAACTCCAACTTCTTATTATTTATATATTGGGCTTATTTCTCTAACATCCTGTCATTTTTGTTTTTCCAGATCCATGTGGTGACAGATCAAGAGGAGCAGGAGGGAGTTTACACACTGGGACAGGTATGCAGTCCAAAAGTCTTTTGAGACACGGTAATAAAATGTGGCTGTCTTTTGCTTTTCTCACACTAGTTTCTTTTTCTGTAAGGTGTTGCTTCCGATGCCAGGAAACACTGTCAAGTATCCAGAAAACTCCATGGGGTCCTGGTTCCAGGAAAGACTGGCCAGCGACGGACTGGGCGACTGTCGCTTCAGAGTCGGTAGCCTCAAGCTGAATCTGCCTGGATGCTACCGCCCCCTGCTGGCCTGCCCGCGAAACCTCCGCTACAAGCTGAATCGACCAGGCTGTGAGGAAGGAGGAGAAGTTTCAGGAGGTAGCAGGAGAAATGACGGGCAGCGCAATGGTACACCGGTAGAAGGGAAGGAGGACTCGCTCACTCTGACCTTAAACTTTGACCTTGACTCGTCCTGCTACGCGACTATCTGCCTCCGAGAGATCATGAAGTGTGACCCCTAGAGGTCGAGGGACATTGTTACTGCTGTATTTCTACAAACTATTATTCTTAGTGGTAAATACCTTTTTTGTAATCCAATATTGTGACATATTATCAGTCTGTTTTTTTGTTTTTTTTTGGTTTGTTGTTAAAATAATGAGCAAAGGAACTAAAAAAAGAATAATGAGCAATTAATGAATGTGAACAAATCTAAGTGTAACACCGCGTGAACAACATTTGTGTTTTGTGCCCTGAATTAAAAGGATTTCACCCAACATCATTTTTCTTTCAATGAAGTTAATAGAGATCAGTGTCCTCTACTTCCAATCCTTTTTACATTATTTTGAAAAACAGGAGCCTTCTTCACAAAGCCTCCTAGATAGTAAGAGTTGCTCCTAGTGACAAATTTCTAAGAAAAATCGTAGAATCATGACGTTATCATCCTTAAAGTAAGAGTGAACTAGATCCTTGTAAAAATGGAAGTTATTCACAAAGCTTCTTAGCCCTTAAGAGAGCTTCTCAAGCTGAGGAGAAATCAGAGAAATGTTCTCCAAACACTACAGGATGAATTTTTTTATTGAATCATAATTGGGCCGAACAGACAGAAATTATTTATGCAGACATTTCAATCTCTCTATGATCTATGCGTGCAAACTGTAGTGTCCCAGTGCAGTGAGGGGTTCTCTCCCTCCACACCGCTGTATGGAACTGTGCCAGTTTTACCGGCACTCTAATTACGGGGAGTTGCCATGCGCACCATTATATACAGGTGTAGCCATACCTGAGTCTCTTCTCTCTCCATCCGTTTCCCCTCGTGGTGGAGGATCCTTGTGGCGTGGCGGAGCCCTTTGTTTGGTGTGGTAAGTCTGTTTTGGCGTGAAAGCGGCCATGCTGCATCATAATTTAAACAAGAGTTTCACATGTAAGTATTGTACTGCCCACTAGATGGAGACAACATACAATGATTGCCTACATTGCAAGGATTTCAGAGCCTCCACTTCAATACTTTGAACTTCTGGAGCTTAAACTTGATTGAGGGGGAAGTTTGTTTTGCAGCAAACTAAAAACATTACACATATAGAAGACATAGAAACACAGACTATAGGGTTCAAAATATTGGACGTCATCAATACCTGTACATCAAGGTCAATAGGATGCCTGGACTCTTTTTTTTAAACATGCATGTCATTAAAACCACTGTCAGTCATCAGTATGACTGTCAATCTATCATCTACAGAATCATTAGAAGTAAGGGGTTTGTTGGCCTGAATAAATACAATAAAATGATAATGATCCTGTTGTATGTTGCTGTTGGTCATTTGAATGTCTTCTGCTTAAACTTGCGTAGTTGACTATTTAGTCTTCTTTAATATATATATTTTTTGTGTATTTCTTTATGAATATGTATGTGTGTGCGTGTGTGTGTGCAGATGGGAGACACTGGGGTAGGTTGTGAACTATGGTTATAAGGGATGGGGTGGGTTTGGATAGGGATCTGGACCACAGAACTTTTTGCACTAACTTTGATGATTGTTGTAACACTGTACATTTCTGTGCAAAAACCAATACAGAAAGTTTGGATAAAAAAAAAATCTTGCATAGTTGTGAATGTTCAATATCTTTGCTATTTTACATGATTAGCCTCGGCCTATAGCATGACATTGAGTTCCATGTCTCATAGAAAACAACACCTGTTCCACATGACCGAAAGGCAAATTACTTTATCACTATCTTAATCTAAATCTTAATCCAGCGTGCCAGTTCATGCAATCCACACGTGAAAAAATGTCCTCCATCAGCAGTAGCAGCAGATATCTTATATATAAACACAATGAAGCGGAGAAATGTCATGATCGATTCCCAATCTGTATTCAAATTGAGCTACCATTGTCTGTAAGTGAATGATACATTTGGATGATAATAATCAAATACAGCAGCACATTAAACCCCCCTCATAAATAATTTAGAGCAGATATACCTCTGGGATATTTTTAATACCTGTTACTATAAGAAATATGAAATATGGACTGTCTATGTGCGTGTTTTGGTTGGAGTTTGGTTCTAACACGCAGCCTGTCACGGCGCTGCGTGATAAACTACCTGCCTGTGAGCTAAACTCTCTGCCAAAGACACACATTAGCAGTAATGAGTTTCTTCACTGCTCTAAGAGTTTGGTTACAAAATGACACACTATCCATCGTTGGGAAGAGTGCATAATTGAAATCCTCGCAGTAGCATCTGTAGATTTAATCCTATACTGTGTGTTGACAGTTTTAATGCTTCTTGCCTCAGGTGTCAAACTTAATCCTGGCAGATGAATTCTTCTTTTTTTTTTTTTTCACACTCAGAACAGGAGTCGTGTGCAGGGTGAATCCTCTATAGTGTCATTACATAACCTTCTCTGTAGATGTCCATACAAAATCAAGATCGAGTGCGTCACTTCTATGTAGCTTGTACCTACACAGACGCCTACATAAGCCTGATTTGTACCTTTTCAAAAATGTGACAACGTGTTGAAATGACACAGACTGTGATTTTCCGCTATAGCTAGCATCATATTTCCTGCATTTACATCATTACATGTATGGCAGACCTTTTCAAAAGGCTTAATCGGAGGAGTTTTGCAGAGCTACGCAGGCACACCAACGCACATGTATGTCGTGCTCACAGCAGCGTAGGACACTGTGGCTTAGCTATGACGTAGGTTTGACTCAGGAGTATAAATCAGGCTTGAGGCTAGCTTTGTCCGCCCATTTCCAGTCATTATGCTAAGCTAATTGACCACTTTCTTACCATAACCACATTTCCATAAAACATCAAGTTATTAAAGGTCCGTCATTGTTTTCATTGTTAGACAGTTCCCATGTAAAAAAAAAAAATAATCCCAAACCTTGTTCTTTGATCACTTGACTTAACAAATCTGCATTAATTTAAACCTAAAAATGTCCCATCTACTTCTATGGTGGTCGAAATCTAGATTTACAAAGTAAAGCCAATGTTGCATCTGAGATATTGAGCCAAATACAGTCTCACAACCCTGTACAAGTTCTACACACCCATAAGTAGTTTAAAATTCCTCCAGCTGTACACGTTACCTGTGTGCATTGCATTGTGGGTAAACCTAGCTAAACCAATGCTGTTGAATACAATACTCCTGTAAAAAAAAATCCTGCCTTAATCTAAAGTAATGAAACATTTAGCATATGTTTACACTTTCATCGAGGTGTTTTAAAATCTATTTTCCACCACTTGTAGTTCAGTAAGGGTGGACTAAATAACAAACACTAGCTGTAACTTCATCCTGCAATACATTATTATTATTATTTTTTTTTTAAAGATTTATTTTTGGGCTTTTTTTTGCCAAAGAGAGAGAGATAGGACAGTGGATAGAGTTGGAAATCATGGCGAGAGAGAAGGGAACGACGTGCGAGAAAGGAGCCGCAGGTGGAATTCGAACCTGAGCCGCCCGCTTGGAGGACCACTGCCCCACCAGCGCCCCAAATCCTGCAAAACATTTGAACGGAAACACAAACCGCAACCTGCAAAGTGATCGTATACTTTCCTCTTTTTGCAAAAAAAAAAAAAAAAAAACCTGTTTATTTGCCATTTCTGGCTTATGAAAAGCAAAGGAATTAATGTAAGACAGATTTAATATACTATTTCAGTACACAAGAGCATTGGCCAGTATAATTGCTCTAATTCAACATTATAGACATAAAAGAACAGGGTTATATGTTACATGATTCTTCTACGCATGCAGGAGTAGATGAGTGACCTCCCCATCCTCGGGCTGAATCCAATTTCATCCGTCTGTAGATAAATGTTGACCCACTTCAGCAGCAAAGATGACAACGTTACTACACATCTCATAGCCGGGGAAAAAAAGCAGAGCAAAGGCTCGAGAGGAAAGTCAGGGTTTATGAAAGACATTTACCATGGACGCAGAGTAATGTAGTGCTTCTCCTAATAAAGAGAGATGGAGGAAGAGGAAGAAGCCAGAGGTTATGAAAGACATTAACAATGGAACAAGGGAGCATATAGCTTTCTCTGGCCAAGTGCCATTGTTTTATTCCCCCAGCCCTTTAAGGTCCTGAAAACACATTTTTTCAATCAGCTTCTCAATATGAGCTACAGAGGGAAATATTCTGCTAAAGTTTGGGTGTTTCACATAAGAATGTTACTTCTTTTTTTTTGTTCTTTCACTACTTTTAAAGTAAGGAGGGCTCTGTTAAAAAAAATCGGGTGTCATGGACTTTACCACAAACACAACAGAAATACCAGTAGATTCCTACATTTGCAAGCACAGTGGGTTGAAGTTGACCAAATAGTGCCCACAACCAGGGGCGTGTCCAGACTTTTTTGCCTGGGGTGGCCCAACTTAGGCAGTGACTTTTGCAGGGGTGGCCTGAAGTGTGACGTATTAACCCTTTCTAACTTCACCAATCATATCTAGTTTATTTATAATTTAAAGAACAAACAAAAAAAATTTGCTCCATTGATATGAAAACTTCTAGCAGCCTTCTGCAAAAAAAAAACAAAAAAACCCTCATAGTTGGTTTTAACATAAGTCCTGCATGTGACAGGGCACATAGCCAATCACAGCTTAGGATCTGGGGTGGCAAATCATGACCCATGCCACCCATGGCTCCCCCTATTTGCAAGATGAAGCTATTTGAAGGTGAAAAACATTGTTTAAGTGTCAATTTGAGAGTTGCTCTGAAAACTTGATCTCTGTATATTTACTTCTCATATTGAATGCTATAAAGACAACGGAAACCAAGCTGTGAGAGGGCATTACGTTATTGATTTATGTAGAAGAAAATACACTTGTGCAAAAAAAAGACTGTAAAAAATTATGATTTGTTCAATTTAAAACTGTACATTTTAAAGCTTGTCGTTCCTACTTTAACTTCAGTAAAGACACCCTGAGGACATCATTCTGTGTGTGTGGGTAAGTTTAATAGAACCTCATGTCATATTTTTGACACCATTCAACTTACATTACTTTAAATTTAAATCAAATAATGAAAAATATAGTTTTTATTTATTTGCTCCAATGTGCAAATCAGCTGTATAGTAAATATGTTAATACTGTGAATCTGAGAGGCTGTTTGCATTCATCACTGTGGCAACTTCTTCTTGTAAATAACAGACATCACACATTCACATGAGTTCTCCTCACATTTACGTCAAGCACTAACCACTACGCTACCGGTGCCCCTGTTTCATGCATTTTAACAATGTTGTGTTAAATTGGCACTGATGAATACGCCAA